TTCCAATAGCGCTTCGGCTCTCAAAACAACACTAACGGATTTGTACGGCGGACAAGTACGCTATAAATCACCTGCAAATCCAATGGTTCGTTTTTTTTCAACTTATTCCTGAAATTTACTTTTTTTTTTTACAACTTCGAATAAGTGCGCAATATAAAGCGTCGCAGACTAGGAGAGCATTGTTTTAGGAAAAAATGTTCTGAAAAAACAGTTATTAGAGCTCGGCTCGGCTCGGCCACGTAATATGCTCTTATTTTTAAATCCAGGTGCAGGTTATGAAATTCATTGTATGGGTGTTTTTGTTCACATAAGCTCTTAGGTATTACATTCAAGAAAATGAAATTTCTTCCGATAAAATTTCCAGAAAAGATTTATTCAAGAAAAAAATTCAGATTGAGTATGAAAAATTTACAGTGACACTGTTTTTCTCCATAAACATTTCACCTCTGTTTCCGATTATAGCCTCCGATTCGGAGTCTCCTCTACTTTGCATTCTTTCCCGTGAGCGTTTTTTTTAACATGTTGGACAAAAAGACATAACTGAAGGACTGGTCAAAAAAAAAAGACACAAATGCTTGCAAATGATTTCGTAAATTCCTCTTTGTTCAGCCTTCTTATATTGTCAGCTCCGGAAATTTCTTAATTATTCGCATAGATAATGTCCGGCAACGATGCCTTTCGCAACCAAATTTGATAGGAATTTAGTAAGAAACGTGAAAGCGTACAAGAAATGAAAGGAAATTTATACATTTGGAAGGAAAAAAAAATGTTCCATCTGGTTGCTTTTAGGGGAGCTGCTATGAGGACATGTTTCGTTCAAGCCGCTTCGATCAAATCATCAGTTCCCCACCATTGCCACGTGAAGTAATGGAAGCATATGCGTGGAATCCGGACGATCGCTCATTGAATATTTTTGTCAAAGATGACGATCGGTTAACGTTCCACAGACATCCTGTTGCCCAATCCACCGATTCTATTCGTGCCAAGGTACACATATTTACCGCACTTCTTAAACAAGTACAAATCTTCGGCGTCTCTTAGGTCTGACGTTACTTGGTGTAGGAAAGGCAAGGAAGGTGAGGGAAGAGAGCAGGAGAGTCATACCGATACCCTAAATACTTTGTAGCCTGAGCTTGAAGTGATATGAAAAAAAAAAAGTTCTCATTTGGACTAGACTGAAGTGCTTCTTTTTCCTTCAAAATCTAGAAGTTGG